GGTTAGTCTGCATTTTTCGTCAAGCCACTGTCAATGTGAGAGAACTCGTGTCCAGCTTATAAGCCTATACTTGCATAAACCACAAGTGAAGATTAAACAATCTTTGGACAACACCCACCAGTGGGACTCGAACCCAGAAAGCACAACTACCTTCCAGTAGCTGCCATTACTAGTATGCTTTAACCCACTACACAATCAGATCCTACAAAAGAAGGAGAGGCTTCGATATATATATATATACATCCCAAATATCTCCACTTCCCGAGGGCACCAGATGAGTGTGGGGTTAGTCTGCATTTTTCGTCAAGCCACTGTCAATGTGAGAGAACTCGTGTCCAGCTTATAAGCCTATACTTGCATAAACCACAAGTGAAGATTAAACAATCTTTGGACAACACCCACCAGTGGGACTCGAACCCAGAAAGCACAACTACCTTCCAGTAGCTGTAATAACTAGTATGCTTTAACCCACTACACCATCAGACCCTACAAAAGAAGTAGAGGCTTCGAGATATATATATATACATCCCAAATATCTCCACTTCCCGAGGGCACCAGATGAGTGTGGGGTTAGTCTGCATTTTTCGTCAAGCCACTGTCAATGTGAGAGAACTCGTGTCCAGCTTATAAGCCTATACTTGCATAAACCACAAGTGAAGATTAAACAATCTTTGGACAACACCCACCAGTGGGACTCGAACCCAGAAAGCACAACTACCTTCCAGTAGCTGCCATAACTAGTATGCTTTAACCCACTACACCATCAGACCCTACAAAAGAAGTAGAGGCTTCGAGATATATATATATACATCCCAAATATCTCCACTTCCCGATGGCACCAGATGAGTGTGGGGTTAGTCTGCATTTTTCGTCAAGCCACTGTCAATGTGAGAGAACTCGTGTCCAGCTTATAAGCCTATACTTGCATAAACTACAAGTGAAGATTAAACAATCTTTGGACAACACCCACCAGTGGGACTCGAACCCAGAAAGCACAACTACCTTCCAGTAGCTGCCATAACTAGTATGCTTTAACCCACTACACCATCAGACCCTACAAAAGAAGTAGAGGCTTCGAGATATATATATATACATCCCAAATATCTCCACTTCTTGAGGGCACCAGATGAGCGTGGGGTTAGTCTGCATTTTTCGTCAAGCCACTGTCAATGTGAGAGAACTCGTGTCCAGCTTATAAGCTTATACTTGCATAAACCACAAGTGAAGATTAAACAATCTTTGGACAACACCCACCAGTGGGACTCGAACCCAGAAAGCACAACTACCTTCCAGTAGTTGCCATAACTAGTATGCTTTAACCCACTACACCATCAGACCCTACAAAAGAAGTAGAGGCTTCGAGATATATATATATACATCCCAAATATATTTACTTCCCGAGGGCACCAGATGAGTGTGGGGTTAGTCTGCATTTTTCGTCAAGCCACTGTCAATGTGAGAGAACTCGTGTCCAGCTTATAAGCCTATACTTGCATAAACCACAAGTGAAGATTAAACAATCTTTGGACAACACCCACCAGTGGGACTCGAACCCAGAAAGCACAACTACCTTCCAGTAGCTGCCATAACTAGTATGCTTTAACCCACTACGCCATCAGACCCTACAAAAGAAGTAGAGGCTTCGAGATATATATATATATACATCCCAAATATCTCCACTTCCCGAGGGCACCAGATGAGTGTGGGGTTAGTCTGCACTTTTCGTCAAGCCACTGTCAATGTGAGAGAACTCGTGTCCAGCTTATAAGCCTTTACTTGCATAAACCACAAGTGAAGATTAAACAATCTTTGGACGACACCAACCAGTGGGACTCGAACCCAGAAAGCACAACTACCTTCCAGTAGCTGCCATAACTAGTATGCTTTAACCCACTACACCATCAGACCCTACAAAAGAAGTAGAGGCTTCGAGATATATATATATACATGCCAAATATCTCCACTTCCCGAGGGCACCAGATGAGTGTGGGGATAGTCTGCATTTTTCGTCACGCCACTGTCAATGTGAGAGAACTTGTGTCCAGCTTATAAGCCTATACTTGCATAAACCACAAGTGAAGATTAAACAATCTTTGGACAACACCCACCAGTGGGACTCGAACCCACAAAACACAACTACCTTCCAGTAGCTGCCATAACTAGTATGCTTTAACCCACTACACCATCAGACCCTACAAAAGAAGTAGAGGCTTCAATATATATATATATACATCCCAAATATCTCCACTTCCCGAGGGCACCAGATGAGTGTGGGGTTAGTCTGCATTTTTCGTCAAGCCACTGTCAATGTGAGAGAACTCGTGTCCAGCTTATAAGCCTATACTTGCATAAACCACAAGTGAAGATTAAACAATCTTTGGACAACACCCACCAGTGGGACTCGAACCCAGAAAGCACAACTACCTTCCAGTAGCTGCCATAACTAGTATGCTTTAACCCACTACGCCATCAGACCCTACAAAAGAAGTAGAGGCTTCGAGATATATATATATATACATCCCAAATATCTCCACTTCCCGAGGGCACCAGATGAGTGTGGGGTTAGTCTGCACTTTTCGTCAAGCCACTGTCAATGTGAGAGAACTCGTGTCCAGCTTATAAGCCTTTACTTGCATAAACCACAAGTGAAGATTAAACAATCTTTGGACAACACCAACCAGTGGGACTCGAACCCAAAAAGCACAACTACCTTCCAGTAGCTGCCATAACTAGTATGCTTTAACCCACTACACCATCAGACCCTACAAAAGAAGTAGAGGCTTCGAGATATATATATATACATGCCAAATATCTCCACTTCCCGAGGGCACCAGATGAGTGTGGGGTTAGTCTGCATTTTTCGTCACGCCACTGTCAATGTGAGAGAACTTGTGTCCAGCTTATAAGCCTATACTTGCATAAACCACAAGTGAAGATTAAACAATCTTTGGACAACACCCACCAGTGGGACTCGAACCCAGAAAGCACAACTACCTTCCAGTAGCTGCCATAACTAGTATGCTTTAACCCACTACACCATCAGACCCTACAAAAGAAGTAGAGGCTTCAATATATATATATATACATCCCAAATATCTCCACTTCCCGAGGGCACCAGATGAGTGTGGGGTTAGTCTGCATTTTTCGTCAAGCCACTGTCAATGTGAGAGAACTCGTGTCCAGCTTATAAGCCTATACTTGCATAAACCACAAGTGAAGATTAAACAATCTTTGGACAACACCCACCAGTGGGACTCGAACCCAGAAAGAACAACTACCTTCCAGTAGCTGCCATAACTAGTATGCTTTAACCCACTACACCATCAGACCCTACAAAAGAAGTAGAGGCTTCGATATATATATATATACATCCCAAATATCTCCACTTCCCGAGGGCACCAGATGAGTGTGGGGTTAGTCTGCATTTTTCGTCAAGCCACTGTCAATGTGAGAGAACTCGTGTCCAGCTTATAAGCCTATACTTGCATAAACCACAAGTGAAGATTAAACAATCTTTGGACAACACCCACCAGTGGGACTCGAACCCAGAAAGCACAACTACCTTCCAGTAGCTGCCATAACTAGTATGCTTTAACCCACTACACCATCAGACCCTACAAAAGAAGTAGAGGCTTCGAGATATATATATATACATCCCAAATATCTCCACTTCCCGAGGGCACCAGATGAGTGTGGGGTTAGTCTGCATTTTTCGTCAAGCCACTGTCAATGTGAGAGAACTCGTGTCCAGCTTATAAGCCTATACTTGCATAAACCACAAGTGAAGATTAAACAATCTTTGGACAACACCCACCAGTGGGACTCGAACCCAGAAAGCACAACTACCAGGACGGACCGAAACGTCGTCGTTTCTTCATCATCTGGTGTGTGGTTTTGGTCAACATTTCTTCAACCATGTTATTGTAGCCCATCATCTGCGAACATATCTTCCTCACCTTTTATATATATATATATATATATATATATATATATATATATATATATATATATATATATATATATATATATATATATATATATATATATATATATATATATATAGTGTATTTATCAATCATGCATTCATAACTCATCAAGTTCTGAAATTTCTTTAATTTATTCGTATTCCAGGACAGTGCTGCAGAGTGTGCGAAATATTTTCTTGTCAGAGTTTACATTAGGCAAAATATGCATCCGCAGATGTTGCAAACTTCCACGTATACTTATAACTGAGCCAAAACCGAGAAGTAGCTACATCTGGGAGTTTGTTAATTTTATTGAATAATCTATTGATATGTGACTTTTTGCATGATTGAATAATGATAAATGGAATGGCTAGTGATAATTATTGTATCTATTTACATATTCAGACACAAGCATGATACAATTTTGCCTTAAGAAGTTAAGCGCAATTAAGGAACTGCAGCTGCTAAGACAACTGTAGTTCCAGCAGCATCGTTTGGGGGGAAAAGGGTGGTGAACGGAACCATCGGTCTATATGATTTTAGAGAGGAAGTGCTAGGATATCAGTTTGGCTTAAGGCATTGCTTTTGCCTCAAGACGAAGCCTGCACAGATTTTAATTCAAAATCTTCGAGAGTGAAATATTAAATATTTTTGAGACGTTCACTTCGAACACAGGAAGTGAGAAAACACTTTTCGACAATATTTTCGAACATAATCAGTTACAAATCATTTGAGCGGTGTTCAAGAATCGTAAGTTCATCATTGAAATTTATGTTGAAATTGGGACAAACTTCAAAAAGTCAATTTTTAGCACTTTCTCATTTAAGTACGTCCTCGATAAATATGTATTTGAGGATAACTGTATTCCTTTATCGCTAGGGTTCACAGGATGAGTAAGTGTTGTATAATAGTCTAATGCTGAAGGCAGCTACAACCAATCAGTGAAATTGAAGATGGGAAAGGGCGGGGTTTGGAGGCAGAGTGGGCGTGGCTGTTGGGGGTAATCACAGCAGAGCCCTACTCCACACCCCGACGGGGCACCACGCCACACACGCTGACGGAGCACCACGCCACACACACGCCAGGGCACCGCATCACAATCAGCACCCAGCGCCCCAGACGACAATACCCACGCCAGGTTTGTTGGGTGATCGGTGAATACACTTTGTTTTGGTGCTTCGTTATCATCTACCCATCATAGTTATCTGGGTGCTTCGTCACCATCCATCCATCATAGTTGTCTGGGTGCTTCATCACCATCCACCCATCATAGTTGTCTGGGGTGTTTCATCATTATCCACCCATCATAATGATCATGGTGCTTCATCACCATCCACCCATCATAGTGATCTTGGTGCTTCATCATCATCCACCAATGATAGTGATCTTGGTGCTTCATCATCATCCACCAATAATAGTGATCATGGTGCTACATCATCATCCACCAATGATAGTGATCTTGGTGCTTCATCATCATCCACCAATGATAGTGATCTTGGTGCTTCATCATCATCCAGCTTCATCATCATCCACCCATCATAGTGATCTTGGTGCTTCATCATCATCCACCCATCATAGTGATCATGGTGAGGCACCATCGTAGCCTGGTGGATAGCGCGCAGGACTCGTGATTCTGTGGCGCGGGTTCGATTCCCGCACGAGGCAGAAACAAATGGGCAAAGTTTCTTTCACCCTGAATGCCCCTGTTACCTAGCAGTATATAGGTACCTGGGTGTTAGTCAGCTGTCACGGGCTGCTTCCTGGGGGTGGAGGCCTGGTCGAGGACCGGGCCGCGGGGACACTAAAAAGCCCCGAAATCATCTCAAGATAACCTCAAGATATAACCATCACCATAACGTAGTTAAGTGAGCCTCACATTAAGCACCGTTCGAGGGACGACCTTTTACTGAACTGTTGAGCGTTGTTGTGTAAAGTGTTCCCTCGCGCTGGGACATTGTCTCTGTTGTAGGTGCGCGTATACCATACTGTCTTGTGACAGCTTTCAATTTTATTAATTTTATTAGGGCGTGTGCAAGATTTTGTACATATATTTAGTGTTTAGCAATAATAAAATACAGCGACCTCTTCCATCCACAGCAACAGTGACCTCTGCCGCCCACCACAGCAGCAGTGCTGACCTTTTCCTCCCACAGCAGCAGAGGACGCAGACATGGTTCACGTGGAACTTCTCTCACTGCTGGGGCTTACGGCCATGTTCCTGGCAGGTAAGTTACCTACATTGTTTCCCTTCTCTCAGTGTTTATTGAAGTAGTATACTCTTAATGCTTTGTAATGGGGTAGTATACTCTTAAGGCTTTGTAATGGGGTAGTATACTCTTAAGGCTTTATAATGGGGTAGTATACTCTTAATGCTTTGTAATGGGGTAGTAAACTCTTAAGACTTTGTAATGGGTAGTATACTATTAAGGCTTTGTAATGGGTTAGTATACTCTTAAGGCTTTGTAATGGGGTAGTGTACTCTTAAGGCTTTGTAATGTGGTTGTATACTCTTAAAGCTTTTTATGTGGTAGTATACTATTAAGGATTTGTAATGGGGTAGTGTACTTCTAAGGCTTTGTAATGGGGGGGGGGGGGGGGTAGTATACTCCTAAGGTTTTATAATGGGGTAATATACTCGTAAGACTTTAGTGTTTTATCAATTGTTGGTTTAAATTTGTTTACATTTGTTAATGTGAGGCATAATGTGTTGATTCTTACTCGCCCAGTTGTTCCTGAGGGCTGAGATCTAGCTCCTGGTCCCTGCTGTTGCACTCGCCCAGTTGTATCTGAGGGTCGAACTGTAGCTCTTGGGACCTTCCATTATCCTTGCCCAGTTTTACATGAGGGTCAAGCTGTAGCTTTATACGTGTTTTAGCAACAACTCAACACTAGAGTTTCATTCTCTAATGGTGGTCTCTTGTATGTGGTGGAACAAATCATATTAGCGTCACATATGCCGGAGATGTTATTCTACTTATATATTCTCTGATGTAAAGCTCGTTGCTATATCTATTTTTTGATGCTCTCATTTTGTCTTCGAGTTTAATCATTCATCCTATTATTAGTATTTCATCATTTTATTCAGAAATTCCTTGTAGTTCAACCAATATCATGGGGCCTGACGGCTGAGTGGACAGCGCTCGGGGCTCGTAGACTTAAGGGTCTGGGTTTGATCCCTGGCGGAGGCGGAAACAAATGGCAAACCCCCCTGATGCCCGTGTTCACCTAGCCGTAAATAGGTACTTGGGAGTTGGACAGCTGCTACGGGCTACTTCCTGATTATGTGTATTTGTGAAAATTAGGATTAAAGACTTGCCCGAAATGCTACATTTGCAAGTGGCTGTAATAGAATGTAAGAACTCTTGTATATGTAAAGAAAAAAAACGTGCTCCATTGTTCATCATAGTCTCCTAGAATACTTCAGAGTTCATCATAGTCTCTTTTAGATCTCCATAGTATATCAGAATATCACACAAAGTACTGCCTCAGTTCAGTTACACTGCATCTCAAAGTACCCCTTAGTTCATCACTGCATCTCAAAGTACCCCTTAGTTCATCACATCATCTCAAAGTACGTTGTAAATATTTAATCTCACAGATTACCCTTCATTTATTCTAATATCCAAAAGTACCACCTTGTTCATCATAGTATCTGAAAACACCCCGTAGTTCATCTTAGTCTCCCCAGGCACCCAGGAGTTCATCATAGTACCCGAAAGTACTCTTTAATTCTTCGGTCTCCCAAAGTACTCTGTCCTTAATCAAAGTATCTTAGAGTATTCCATGTTTCATCATAGTCTCCCATCACCCCATATTACATCACAGTCTCCCAAGGTATACTTTAGTTCATCATAAGGTCACAATCCCTTACTTCATTTAATCTCTTATAATACTCTTCAGTTTACCATAGAATCTTAAAGTACCCCAAGTTCATCTTGGTCTCCAGAATTACCCTTTAGTTTATCATAATCTCACAAATGGATACTCCCCCCTCAGTTTACAGTAATTTTCCAAAGTACCCCTATTTCAGTATCGTATCCCTTCGTTGATCATACTACCCCAAAATACATTTTAGTTTATCATAGTTTACCAAAGTATTCCATATTTCATCACAGTAGCCTAAAGTACCTCATAGTTCAATACTATCTCCCAAAGTACCCGTAGTTAATAATAATATCTCATAGTACCTTTAATTCAAAATAGTATTCCCAAGAACCCTTTAATAATAATATCCTTCAACATTATTATAAGATATTATGATGAATTACAATGTACTTTGGGATACTGTGATGAATACCAAGGTACTTTGGGGTACTATGATGAGCTAGGTTGTTTTTGGAAATACTATCATGGCGTACTGCGTACTTTGACTATGATTCTCAAAATAGTAATTTTAGATACAGTGATGAACTACTTTGGGTACTGATGAATTATGGAGTTCTTTGGGATACTATAATGAATTACTGGATTTTTTTAATACTACGATGAACAAATGGTAGTTTTGAATACCATGATGAACTACGGCGTACTTTGAAAGACTATGGTAAGTTAAATTGAACTTTGAGGTACTATGATGAGCTAAGGAGTACTTGGGGATAGCATGATAACTATGTGCTACATTGCGAAACTGTGTTGAGTTACATGGTACATTTTGAGCCAATGATGAGCAGAAGGCTGCGTTAGGACACTATTGTCGAGAGTACTTCCAGGAATTTCTAGCCAAAAGTTCCAGGTAGCTCATCATAGAATCACTAAGTATCCTTACGTTAATTAAAGTTTGCCAAAGTATTCTTTAGTTCATTATAATATCCCAAATACATTTAAGTTAATCATAGGATATAAAAATTTTTAGTAGTTCATCAATGTGTTTCATAGTAGCTCCTAGTCCATCATAGTCTACCATAGTACCTCTTAGTCCATCATAGTCTATCATGGTCTACCATAATACACTTAAGTTCATCATAATTTCCCAAAGTACCTCATTATAGTATCCAAAAGTACCTAGTAGATATTTATAGTATTCCAAAGTGCCTAGTAGATCACCAATCTCAAAATACCACCTAATTTATCAACGTCTCCAGAGAACCCTGTAGTCGATCCTAGTGTATTTAAGTACCTCTTAGTTTATCATTCTCTCCAAAAGGACCTTTTAGGTAATCATATGGTACTAAAGTTCCCCTTAGTTCACTATATTATCCCAAACTAATCCTTAGGAACAGTTTAGTAACATTTCCTATCTAATGTTCCTAAATTATGCTAGAGGCAAGGAATCGGGAATACACAAATACACTTAAAACTCAATAAAGCACTTTACCGTAATATCTTTAAACACTTCAGCCGATGTTACGGCCGATCTCCCCTATAGATGATGTCCTCTCCCTGCACCCAAAGCCACACTGATCAAAACGCTGTCGAGGTGAAGCCGACCTTAGCTGGTGGCCAAACTTGCATATGTCCGTGTAGGGAATTTTATTGCGATCTCAGTGATACCAAATTTAACGCTGTAGGACAAGTGTGGAGTTGACTAACCTGAAAGAATAGAAACATTTCGTCGCTGTTAGGAGCTCACGGCTAGTGATCGACGTAGTTCTTTGTTTCGTGCTGGTCTAACTCATGCTTTGGTGACATTTTATACACGTGTCCTTCTAGAACATTCTATTGCGAACACATTGGTACAAAAATGAAATACGTACATCAAAAATTAATGTCAGGACAGTGAAAAGAGTATACACTTTTCGGTGTTGCCGCTACAGAGCCCGAAACGCCGCGCGTACAAGGGAAAAGTTTTTTTTATCGTTTGCTGGGAGCACGAAAGTGTGTCCCAAAGTACCCCTTAGTTCTACATTTTATCCCAAAGTACCCCTTAGTTCTTCATTTTATCCCAAAGTACCCTTTAGTTCTTTATAATATCCCAAAGCACCCCCTTGGGTCTTCATAATATCCCCAAGTACCCCTTAGTTCGTCATAATATCCAGACATATCCCTTATTCTTCTTCATAATATATCAAAGTACCCCTTAGTTTTTCATAGTATCCCAAAGTATCCCATAGTTCTTCATAATATCCCAAAGTACCCCTTAGTCGTTCATAATATCCCAAAGTACCCCTTAATTCTTCATAATATCCAAAAGTGTCCCTTAGTTCTTCATAATATCCTAAAGTATCCCTTAGTTCTACATAATATCTCAAAGTACTTCCTAGTTCTTCATAATATCATAAAGTACCCCTTAGTTCTTAATAATATCCCAAAGTTCCCCTTAGTTCCTAATAATATCATAAAGTACAACTTAGTTATTCATAATATCCCAAAGTTCCCCTTAGTTCTTCATAATATCCCAAAGTTCCCCTTAGTTCTTCATAATATCCCAAAGTTCCCCTTAGTTCCTAATAATATCCCAAAGTACAACTTAGTTCTTCATAATATGCTAAAGTACCCCTTATTTCTTAATAACATCCCAAAGTGCAATTTAGTTCTTCATAATATCCCAAAGTACCCCTTAGTTCTTCTTAATGTCCAAATGTACCCCTTTGTTCTTCATAATATCCCAAAGTACCCCCTTAGTTCTTCATAATATTCCAAAGTACCCCTTAGTTCTTGATAATATCCCAAAATACCACATAGTTCTTCATAATATCCCAAAGTACCCCTTAGTTCTTCAATATATTCTAAAGTACCCCTTAGTTCTTCATAATATCCCAAAATTTCCACATAGTTCTTCATAATATCCCAAAGTACCCCTTTGTTTTTCATAATATATCAAAGTACCTCTTAGTTCTTCATAATATCCCAAAGTACCCCCTTAATACAGCATAGTCTCTGCAGATCATTATTGTCTCCCACACTAGTATTGCTAATGCAGAGGCAGGGTAGAGTGAAGTGCAAGGTGCTACGGTGTACTATGAAGGACCTTGGCAATAGAATACAGAGTCACAGTGAAGCAAAAATCATCAGTGTGCTGGGATCAAATCACCAGTAGCTGTTCATAGGCATTACCAACAAAGAAGATGGGAAGAGAGGTGAGAGAGGGGTTTCACACATGAAGACCCAGGGTATGCGTGTTAATGGCAGTCGAGGTCGGCCTCACTGCCACACTTTATGAAATATCGGCATCTAGACCCTCTTTACCCTTGAGATTTTTTTATGAAGTACACTTATTTATCAATTTTAGTGCTTCGGTATAATATATTTCCAGAGAAAGAAGAAAATCCTGGCAACAGAGCGGATATTTGTAGAGATAAAATGAGAGGGTAAGAGAGGAGAGGGTTGGATGGGGGTCAAGTAAGTAGGGGGGGGGTGTTAAGTAAAGAGAAGTGAGATAGGGACTGGGATATGGGATAGGGAAGACCCGGGTTCAACCGGATTCCCCCGCCAAGAACCATACATATAAGACCAGTTAGGAAATTCATGGCATTAGCGTACAGACCATTTTGTGTCAGATACTATTGAAAACCCAGAGTTATGCCACCAGATATGTCCCAGAGCTGAGAGGCATTAGTGAAGATACACGATTACTATAATTACGACAGAAAATATTTAGGAAAGTATATAAAAGCCGGGCAGAGGCAGGCTGTTTAACATAAGATGAATACGGAAGTAACCAAAGATCTTGAATGAATTACATGCACATTGATGTAAGGTATTGCTTTAGGGTTAGAGGAGGAAATTCACAATCACATTTTCATAGGTAGACATGACATCCCCCAAAGGTTCTAGAACCTGTTTACTTATCGACCGGAGTATGGGAAGCGGGTCATAAGAGCTGGAGTTAACACGACAAATCATCTAGGTAAGTATATACATGATTTAAAGCATTGTAGTGAGGATGTTTTAAGGATGCTTATCATTTTCTCCCGGCAGGAACTGAGGCAAGGTGCAGCTCCACTTCAGAGATTGAGTGTCACAGGGACAGTCAGTGCATCGCCATCACCTCTGTGTGTGACTCCGCAAAACAGTGTAGCGACGGCTCCGACGAGGACCCCTACGTCTGTGAGGTACTGTGGTTCCTCCCTTCCTTGTTTGTTAGTGCATCTGCTCCGTCTGTGAGGTACTGTGGCCCCCCCCTTTCCTTGTTTATTAGTGCTTCTACTCCGTCTGTGAGGTACTGTGGTTCCTCCCTTCCTTGTTTGTTAGTGCTTCTACTCCGTCTGTGAGGTACTGTGGCCCCCCTTTCCTTGTTTATTAGTGCTTCTACTCCATCTGTTAGGTACTCTGGCCCCCCTTTCCTTGTTTATTAGTGCTTCTACTCCGTCTGTGAGGTACTGTGCCCCACCCCCCTTCCTTATTTGTTAGTGCTTCTGCTCGTTCTGTAAGGTACTGTGCCCCCCCCCCCCTTTCCCTGTTTGTTAGTATTTTGCTCCGTCTGTGTGGTACTGTGCCTCCCCCCCTTTCCCTGTTTGTTAGTGTTTTGTTCCGTCTGTGTGGTACTGTATCCCCCCCCCCCTTCCCTGTTTGTTAGTGTTTCTGCTGCACCTATGAGGCACTATGCCTCCCCATACTTGTTAGTGCTTCTGCTCCGTCTGGGAGGTATTGTGCCTCCTTCCTTGTTTGCTAGGGATTCTGCTCCGTCTGTGAGATCCACACCTCCCTGCATTGTTTGCCAGCGTTTCTGGTCCAAATGTGAGAGCCACAAGCACCATTATTGTTTGTTAGTTCATCTAGTATAGCTGTACCTTGGTCAGTCAGTGGTGTGGGGCGGTTTGTGCTCTATTCAACGTGTTCTTTTTATTATTGTTTAAAAAGCCAACTCCTTCTCTGGTCACTGTACTCTTTTCACTGGATATTCATTTCATTTGAAATTCACATCAATAATTTTCCTGTCTCATGACAATTGGCTCAAATATGCAGCATGAAAATAATCTAAACTAGTGCGTGTGATTCTCTTCGTGACGGAGATCGGGCAGCGATCTCCGGCAGCGATTACTTTGATGGAATAATTGACATCTTCATGTCTTACAATCTTCCGCTGTGATTTACAATATATCAGACTTTTGTGGGCGTACAGGTTACCGATGCACTGGCACAGCTACACCAGCATTCACTGTGGATAGGGGCAGCAAGGTGAAGGGCTTATTCACCAATATAGGTAAGAGTAATGGGTGAGGTGAGTTCCGACGGTGTAGTTATAAAAAGCGAATATCAGATTCCCATCATAAGGAGCTTTTACAGTAAAGCAAGGGACTTTTCGTTTCAGATGCATTTTAAAGCGCTGCTGATATATGAAGAGAAAAATGTCCGTAGTGCCACTTGTGTTGCTTTACAAATTTCTGTCCCTCCAAGTCCGAGCGACATGGACAGAACAAGAGGTTATTAAAGTATCTAAAATACGACTTGGTCAGTGCAAGAGGTTACTAAATTATTTCACGAATACAATTATGAATTGCCCAGAGCACGATATAACTTGCCGAAGATTGTGTGTGGCCGGGTCAGTCAGCGACGGGCAGAGTGTCTTAGGACTGGCTAGGGTCTGGTTGTGTGTTTAGTTAACTATAGGGACGACGACGCTCTCAGAAAGCTTTAGGAATACTTTGTATTTAATAGAAACTAAAGTAAATGTCTTTGCAGAATTTGTTATTGATGACATGACTTATTGTATTGTTGTTCTAACGAAGTTTGAAGTATTTATTACCTTAGAAATGTCATAAGGATTTGTGATTTATTTATTTTTTTGAAAAAAAAAAAAACGTTCAAGCCAAGATGACTACAGTAATGCCAGGGGGACTAATGATTTATTTTAATAATTTAATCATTACACCTTAAACGACATGACATGAAGATCTTTGTGATTGTTAAAGTATATTTATTATTTTGCTTAGGTCCACTCCTGGAGCTCCCACTGGACGTTTCAGTAACCATACAGGTCGACATACAGTTACTTGGGAGTGGACGCCTCTTGTAAGTAGTCACAGGACAGACGTCCACCTGGTCACACAAATCATAACAACCTCTCTAGTTGTCCAGAATACATTGTTACGAGGTTGAGGTTACGAGGATATGAGGTTACCGTGAAGGTTCATCTCGTTCTCGCCAGCGTTCCCAATGTCTGGAAACTGTTATGCTAAAGTGACCTATCCAAACCTTCCAGAGGACCCTCGAATAGAAAACGGGACAGTATGTCAATTTCGCGAGCCGCTCCCGTTTTCTTGTACGACAGGTTTTGACTTTAGATAAAGAACCCGTCCTCCTAATAGCTCCTAATAATGGGAGATAGAACTCAGGGAGGAAGTCTCCACAGGAAACGATGGACATCTTCAACGATAAATGCTGGAAGGCAGATGGAAAATTTGTCACTCTCCAGAGGGAGAACAATGAAAGACAGAGGGCAAGTCCACTGTTTAATCTTAAACGTAAGAAAGCAAGGCGCATAAGCACGAAGGCTTGGAAAAACTACAAGAACAAGAGAACAACAAAAAGGAGTACCAGAGAGTCAGGAATGAGAATGAGAACCTCAGAGTAAAAATGGAAGCAAAAAAAGCCGTTTAAAAGGAAACTGGAGCCAAAGCAAAGAACCAACCCAAGTTACTTCATAACCACATCAAAAAGAAAACAACAGCTAAGGGGCGAGCAAGTGAGTATAGGGAAGACCAATTCACTAACAACGATAGAGAAGTGTGTGAAGAGTTCAACCAGAGGTTCCAGGAGGCCTTCATAATAGAACAAGGAGAAGTACCTGAGTTAAGGGGGATGGAGCCAAACCAAGCAACACTTAAAGACTTTGAGATAACTAGATATGAAGGAAAAAATTACCTGTTGGAGCAGGACCCGACTAAGGCTGTGGGACCATACATGATCTCACCATGGATACTAAGAGAATGAGAAGAAGTCTTGTGCTGGCCACTTCCTATGATATGTAACAAGTGAGGGAGGGGAGGGAATTATCAGGGAAAAGCGCCAAGCCATTACGACTATATAGCACTGGGAAGTGGTCAGGATAACGATTTGGGATGGGACGGGGGAAATGAATGGTGCTCAACGGTCGGCGATTGAACGCCGACCTGCATGAAACGAGACCGCCTTTCTACCGTCCAGCCCAAGTGGTTGGCCAGAGTGAGGGGGGGGGGGTGATATCATTCATATATAACCAGATAAAAGGGCACAACAAAGGGGATATATAATAAGATTTTAAATATGATCAACACGGGAGAGGAAATCCTATTGTAATCGGACAAAGAAAAAACTTGGTGGCTGATATTACCCAACCTGCCATCAGAAGAATACATATAAAATATACATCAAAAGAATAGCATCGGCTGCATACGGAAGGTTGGCCAAAATAAAAACTGCCTTTAGGAATCTGAACAAAGAGTCATTCAGAATCTTTTATATCGTTAATGTCAGACCAGTTCTGGAATATGGAGCATCAGCTTGGAGTCCTTATCTTGTTCAACACAAAATGAAGACCTTGTGTTTATGCCACACAAAAAGGTTTGTCAGCAGACTAGTCCCAGAGTTGAGAGGTATCAGATTCGAGGAAAGACTACAGGTGTCAAACTTTACCTCGCTGGAAGATAGAAGAAACAGGCGAGACATTATTACCACACACAAAATCTTTAGAGTTTAGAATAATAGACAGGGCAGAAAAGGACAGATTATTTAGCAGGAGTAGAACACGAACAAGGGGACACACATGGAAACTAAGTACTCAGATGAGCCACAGAAACATTTTAAAGAATTTTTTTAGTGTCATAGTAATTAATAAATGGGATGAACTAGGAAGTGATATGGAGACTAGGAGGCAGACTCCATACTCAGTTTTATATGTAGATATGATAGAACCCAATAGACTCTTGAAGTTTTAAACCAGTTGATAAAGTGTTGAGAGGTACTCACCTTGTTGTGATTGCAGGGGTTAAGCTTCGGCTTTGTTCCCGCCTCTCAATTGTCAATCAACTGGTGTCCAGGTTCCTTAGCTTCTTGGGCTCTATCATATTTACATTTGAATCTGTGTATGGAGTCTGCCTCCACCACATCACTGCCATTTGTTAACTACCCTGACACTGACAAAATTGTTTCTAATGTCACTGTGGCTCTTTTGAGTACTCAGTTTCCATCTGTGCCCCTTTGTGTTCCATTGATGCTAAATAGTTTGTCTTTGTCCACCCTGTCAATTCCTCTGAGAATTTTGTAGGTGGTGATCATGTCTCCCCCTAAGTCTTCTGTCTTCCAGGGACTTGAGGTTCCTAGAAAAACCTCAGTGGTTTTATGTTGATTAGATACTATCTTATTCAATGAAACACCTTACATGTTATTCCTGCCTGTTTCTCCAATTTTTCTAACATTCTCGTATGGGATACTATGTCAAAGGCTTTCTGACAGTCTAACAAAATACAGTCTGCCCACCCTTCTTTTTATTGCCTAATGTTTGTCATAGATTTCTGTTAAACCCGTAAGGCACAATTTACCATCTCTGAACCCTTGCTGGTGGTGGTGTGCTACAAAGCTATTTTTCTCCAGATGCTCTACGAGCCTTTTCCTCACGACCTTCTCCATCACCTTGTATGGTATACATGTTAGGGAAACTGGCCTGTAGTTCAGAACCTCTGGCCTGTCACCATTTTTTATATTGGGACTACATTAGCTGTCTTCCAGCTTTCCGATAGGTCTCCTGTTTCCAGTGACCTGTTATACACCATAGAGAGTGGCACACTTAATGCTTTTGCACCCTCTCCCAGGTACCTATTTACTGCTAGGTAACAGGGGCATTCAGGGTGAAAGAAACTTTGCCCATTTGTTTCTGCCTCGTGCGGGAATCGAACCCGCGCCATGTGTGTGTGTGTGTGTGTGTGTGTGTGTGTGTGTGTGTGTGTGTGTGTGTGTGTGTGTGTGTGTGTGTGTGTGTGTGTGTGTGTGTGTGTGTGCGCGCGCGCGCACTTTAACGAAGGTGTATGAACCGTGGTGAATGAGGTGCATGAGAGCCTAAGAGCCTTGCCTCGTCCCCCGCAAATACAACTAGGTGAATACTAGGTAAGATAGTGAATTTGTGTTGAGAAGGATACATGTGAACTGGGTATATGTTTACAAAAAGGGCACTGGTGTACTTAGGTATGTAATATCAAGTGCAATAGTGTATGTTGGTATACATTAACAAGGGCTCTGGTGTACCTTATTATACGTTAACAAGACTACTGGCGTACTTGGTATGCACTAACAAGGACACTGGCGTACCTGGGTATGCACTAACAAGAACACTGGCATACCTGGGTATGCACTAACAAGGACACTGGCATACCTGGGCATGCACTAACAAGGACACTGGCATACCTGGTATGCATTAACAAGGGTACTGGCACACCTGGTTATGCACTAACAAGGACACTGGCGTACCTGGGTATGCACTAAGAAGAACACTGGCACACCTGGGTATGCACTAACAAGGACACTGGCATACCTGGGTATGCACTAACAAGGACACTGGCATACCTGGGTATGCATTAACAAGGGTACTGGCATGCCTGGGTATGCATTAACAGGGACACTCGGGTACTTGGGTATAGGTGGCCGGGATTTGGATTCATTAAAGTTGCTTGAACAGCTTTCCTCAACTATCAGCCGTTGTGATAAGATATAATAATGACCTCTTGTGTTTGTGTATTATAGACCTGGACGAGAACGGACCCAAATTGTGGCGTCGGACTTATGTACTGTGGCCGCAACTGTCGCAGCATACCTGATGTATGTATCTGGTCAGACTGTCGCCCCCAGTTAAATTCTCGTATGTGTGAGGTGAATGCTGGCTCAGTATCTTGTGTTCCTATATGAATGAGATTAATTTAATGAGGGTTATAATTTTTGGGTCAATTTGGGTTTACATCAATCTATAACGAGTATTCTAAATTTATATGAAATATGAAATATTTAATTTTCACTCTCTCCCTCTCTCTTATATATATATATATATATAAATATATATATATATATATATATATATATATATATATATATATATATATATATATATAGCCCTGAATAGAACTTACACATCTTCGATTTGTTTATATCTACATTTGAGTGAGGTGGATGGGGTGAAGTGGTATTAATAGGGTATTAAATTCCTAAACACAAGACAGTACAGGAAACAATGGGTATTGAATGGAAGTGATTTGTAGAAAGCCTATTGGTCCATATTTCTTGATGCTTCTATATTGGAGCGGAGTCTTGAGGTGGGTAGAATATAGTTGTGCATTAATTGGCTGTTGATTGCTGGTGTTGACTTCTTGATGTGTAGAGCCTCGCAGACGTTAAGCCGCCTGCTATCGCTGTATCTATCGATGATTTCTGTGTTGTTTACTAGGATTTCTCTGGCGATGGTTTGTTTGTGGGAAGAGATTATATGTTCCTTAATGGAGCCCTGTTGCTTATGCATCGTTAAACGCCTAGAAAGAGATGTTGTTGTCTTGCCTATATACTGGGTTTTTTGGAGCTTACAGTCCCCAAGAGGGCATTTGAAGGCATAGACGACGTTGGTCTCTTTTAAAGCGTTCTGCTTTGTGTCTGGAGAGTTTCTCATGAGTAGGCTGGCCGTTTTTCTGGTTTTATAGTAAATCGTCAGTTGTATCCTCTGATTTTTGTCTGTAGGGATAACGTTTCTATTAACAATATCTTTCAGGACCCTTTCCTCCGTTTTATGAGCTGTGGAAAAGAAGTTCCTGTAAAATAGTCTAATAGGGGGTATAGGTGTTGTGTTGGTTGTCTCTTCAGAGGTTGCATGGCGTTTCTAGACTAGAAATAAAAATGAATTTTGGAGAATTGATTTTTGAATTACCACTAACAGTGAAAAGAAACGTACGAAAGATCGAGAAAATTCGTGTTAGAATTATTAATCTAACTTTTTCGGTCATATTTAATAATATATGTCTACAGGAAAGACTGCTACCAAAATATACTAATATATATATATATATATATATATATATATATATATATATATATATATATATATATATATATATATATATATATATATATATTATGTGAGAAATACTATTCTGACAAAATTCAGGTTATATATCGTTTGCATGTTTAATTCATTTTATGATCAAACTAAAAACTTTAAGTATTTTACAATTATTTCAAAATGTCGAAATTACAGTATTACCCCGCCGGCACTCAAATGGTAATCTTGGGCATAGCATTTTCTCAAATCACCTCACCTCGTAATTCCATGGATTTAAATACCAGCATATTTAAATATGCATTCAAACACACATTAAGATTCAATTAGGCCAATGTCAACATTAGTGAAGTTTACACAGTTTCCTTTCGGTAAATATTTCTTTAAGATATTTAGTCAGAGGTTTATGGTGATGTATTCATTCTGGTTCGGTAACAGGGTTGTTGATTTGTAGAACCAATTACCGCGTAACATAATAGAAGTAGGATCCCTTGATTGTTTCAAGCTTAGGTAAGACATATATATGAATGATATTGGGTGGATATAAACAGGAGCTTCGTGGTATGGGTGAATTGGCCTTCTGCAATTACCTTCGTTCTTTTGTTCATATGTTCTTAATAAATATTAATAAAGGGTTCATTTGAGATTTTACTGTCAGATTCCCCTCATTGAGATTTATTAAAGGTTTTCATTCAGTGAGCTTTATTTCCAGTGAGTTTTTCATTCAGCGAAGTTTTTACTCAGTGAGTCTTTCATTTAGTGAAGTTTGTAATCAGTAAGGTGTGTATACTTAGTGGTGTTTCTATTCACTGTTTGCATTGTATTCAGTGAGATTTATATTCAGTGTGTATTGTATTTAGTGAGAATTTTGTTCAGTTAAGGTTTCGTTCTATGAATTTTCTCGTGTTTGTTTTTACATTACATAGCCGGTACCTCCTCGCTAGTTAGCCCAAGTTATATTATACATATTACCAGATTCTCTTCATTCTACGCATAATACTGTCATTACACTGAAGGTGTTGTGTGTGTGTAGTAGGGATCATTAGCCTGTTCTTCCACCGTGAGTGTGTCTTGGAACTCAGAGACCAGAATTCATTCCCACCACATTACTTCAATATTTTATAATACGCCATGTCTACTCATTCTCACCATTCACGCAATCACACGTGCGTGCGCGCGAACACACACACACACACACACACACACACACACACACACACCCGCACACACACACACACACACACACACACACACACACACACACACACACACACACACACACACACACACACACAGTAGTGTGTGGTAGAGCTAGGAATTATCTCCCCCAAAAAAGAACTAGGAAACAAAAGGCTGGCATACCGAAAGGGAAATTATGAGGAGATGAGAAGCTTCCTAAGGGAAATACCTTGGGACACAGACCTCAGATCTAAGTCTGTACGTGATATGATGGACTATGTCGCCCAAAAGTGTCAGGAGGCAGTAAGCAGATACATCCCGGCCCAAAAGGAAAAATCCGGAAAGCAAAAGAAGAATCCATGGTTTAACAGGGCATGTATAGAAGCAAAGGTACTGAACAAAAGGTAACTTCCGAAATAACAGAACATCAGAAAGCAGAGAGAGATACCAGAGAACCAGGAATGAGTTGAGCCCACGCACACCCCAGATTCCCCAGGTTCCCCTTCACAGGCCCTCCCATCCTGGTCCCTTCCTGTTTCCCTGCTTCAGGGGAAGCAATAGGATCTGAGAAAGGACAGAAGAGAGTCAGTTTCAGGGTTATGTACTTGAACATAGATGGGATCACAAGCAAGGCAAGTGAACTAAGGGAAAGAGTACAAGAAGTGAACCCAGTTGTAATCGGACTCACAGAAACAAAATTCTGAGGAATAATAATGAATGAGGTGTTTCCCCACGACTACACTGTAATAAGGAAAGAGAGGGAAGGAAGGGGGAGGAGGTGGAGTGGCCTTACTAATGAGAAAGGAATGGAGTTGTAATGAATAAACGGAAAGGACCAAAAGTAGTAGTAGCAGTGATATATAACCCTCCACCAAATGAGAGAAAACCAAGGCAAGAGTGTAACAACAACATGGCAATTAACACTATAATTGAGAGGGCAGCCTCTGCTGCTAGTAGAAATAGATCTCATCTGCTCATCATGAGGGGCTTCAGTCACAGAAGGATAGACTGGGAGAACAAGGAAACGCATGGAGGAGAGGATGCATGGAGACCCAAACTAATGGTGGTGGCGACAAGAAACCTTCTAAGCCAATATGTCAGGGAACCCACAAGGATGAGAGGAAACGATGAACCAGCAAGACTCGACCTAGTCTTCACTCTGAACGACCCCGACATAAGGGAAATCGGTTTCAAGGCCCCAGTAGGAATGAGCGACCACAGTGCACTGGCGTTTGAGTATCTGGTTGAAGAAGGGTTATTGAACTCGAGGAGGGGTACTGAAAACAAAAGGCTGGCATTCCAAAAGGGAAACTATGAAGAAATAAGAAAATTCCTAACAGATATAATGTGGGAAACAGATCTCAGGGGAAAGACGGCCCAAGACATGATAGACTACATCACGCAGAAGTGCAAGAAAGCAGCAAACAAGTTTGCCCCAGTCCAAAAGGAAAACAATGAAATGAAGATGAGAAACCCATGGTTTATTCAGAGATGTAGGCTAGCTAAGCAGCAAAGTAAAAGGGCGCGGAGAAACTATAGGAATAACATTACACTTGAGAGCAGAGAAAGATACCAGAGTGCCAGGAATGAATGTCAGGATGAGAAGAGAGGCAGAATGACAATACGAAAATGACATCGCAAGCAAGGCAAAGACTCAACCTAAATTGGTGCACAGCCACATCAGGAGAAAAACAACAGTAAAAGAACAAGTAATGAAATTAAGGTTAGGGGCATAAGGATTCACTACAAACGACAAGGAAGTGTGTGAGGAACTGAATAAGAAATTCCAGGAGGTCTTCACCGTAGAGCAAGGAGAAATTCCAAAGATAAGAGAGGGAATAGTTAACCAGGAACCACTAGAAGAGTTTGAGATTACCAGTGGGGAAGTAAGGAAGCTTTTACTAGAGTTATAGCCTTCCTGGTTTGGTGCCTTCTTTTGATAATTACATTCTTACTTTTACTAGAGTTGGATGCGACAAAGCCTATAGGTCCAGATGGGATCTCCCCTTGGATACTAAAGGAAGGAGCAGAAGCACTGTGCCTGCCACTCTCCATAGTGTATGACAAATCACTGACAACAGGGGAACTGCCAGAAATTTGGAAAGCAGCTCATATGGTCCCGATATACAAGAAAAGGGAGAGACAGGAGGCACTGAACTACAGGCCAGTGTCCCTAACCTGCATACCATGCAAGCTGATGGAGAAGATTGTGCGAAGAAAGCTAGTGGAACATCTGGAGCGAAAGAACTTTGTAACACAGCATCAACATGGGTTCAGAGATGGCAAGTCCTGCCTCACATGGGTAATTGAATTCTACGACCAGGCAACAAAAATCAGGCAAGAAAGAGAGGGGCCATTCATTCAGAGACTGAATGAATGGTTCAACACATGTATGCTAAAGTTCAACCCGAGTAAATGCAAAGTAATGAAACTAGGCGGTGGAAATAGGAGGCCAGACACAGATACAGAATAGGAGATGAAGTACTTCATGAAACGGATAGAGAGAAAGATCTAGGAGTTGATATCACACCAAACCCGTCTCCTGAAGCCCACATAAAAAGAATTACGCCAGCGGCATATGCGAGGCTGGCTAACATCAGAACATCCTTCAGGAACCTGTGTAAGGAATCGTTCAGAGCCTTGTATACCACATATGTAAGATCAATCCTGGAGTATGAGGCCCCAGCATGGAGCCCGTACCTTGTCAAGCACAAGATGAAGCTGGAAAAAGTTCAGAGGTATGCCACTAGACTAGTCCCAGAACTAAGAGGCATGAGTTACAAGGAAAGGCTGCGGGAATGGCACCTTACGACACTGGAAGACAGAACAGTAAGAGGAGACATGATCACTACCTACAAAATCCTCAGGGAAATTGACAGGGTAGACAAGGATAAACTATTCAACACTGGTGGTACGCGAACAAGGGGACACAGGTGGAAACTGAGTACCCAAATGAGCCACAGGAACGTTAGAAATTTTTGTTCAGTGTCAGTGTAGTTAACAGGTGGAATGCATTAGGCAGAGATGTGGTGGAGGCTGACTCCATACACAGTTTTAAATGTAGATATGATAGATCCCAGGAGGCTCAGGAATCTGTACACCAGTTGATTGACGGTTGAGAGGCGGGACCAAAAGAGCCAAATCTCAACCCCCGCAAGCACAAATTTGTGTACTCACACAAATGTGTTAGTACACACACACACATTTTTCTAGATTGCCAAAAGGCCTTTGACACAGTACCACACAGGCTATGGGTAACGAACTACCTAACAGTAAGGAGCCAGAGAGTAATGGTAAATGGCGAGAAGCCGGACTGGCGAACTGTAACGAGTGGAGTACCTCAAGGATCGGTGCTGGGATCAATTGAATTTCTAGTTTACGTAAATAACATGCTTACAGGAGTAGAATCCTACATGTCGATGTTCGCGGATGATGCAAATTTAATGAGAAGAGTTGTGTCAAATGAGGATTGTAGGATCCTCCAAGAGGACCTAAACAGGTTGCAGAGATGGTCAGAGAAATGGCAACTGGAGTTCAACACAAACAAATGTAAAGTTATGGAAATGGGATAAGGTGATAAGAGACCAAAGGGACAGTGCACAATGAAGAGGAACTGCCTACCTGTGACGATTCGAGAAAGAGATCTGGGAGTGGACGTAACACCTAAGCTGACTCCTGAGGCAGATATAAATAGGATAACGACAGCAGCGTACTCTAAACTGGCAAAAGTTAGAACATCATTCAGAAACCTAAGTGAGGAGGCTGTTAGGGTGCTTTACACTGCCTACGTGAGACCAGTTTTAGAGTATATTGCGCCATCATGGAGTCCCCCCTCCTGAAGAAACACATAAGGAAATCTTAAAAGGTTCAGAATTTTGTGACGAGGCTTGTCCCAGAGTTACGAAGGATGGGATATGAAAAGCGCCTGAAGGAACTGAACCTTACCACACTAGAAAAAAGAAGGGAGAGGGGGGAATATGAAAGGAATGTATAAAATACTCAGGGGAATTGACAAAGTAAAAACAGATGAAATGTTCTCATGTAATATTAACCGAACGAGGGGACATGGGTGGAAGCTGGAATCTCAGATGAGTCCGAGATGTTAAGAAGTATTCTTTTAGCGCGAGAGTAGCGGAAAAATGGAATGCACTTAAGGAGAAGGTTGTGAAAGCAAACTCTATTCAAAATTTTAAAACTAGATATGATAGGGAAATGAGATAGGAGTCATTGCTGTAAACAACCGATGGCTAGAAAAGCGGGATCCAAGAGTCAATGCTCGATCCTGTAGGCACAAATTGGTGAGTACACACACACACACAATGACAAGAATGTCAAGGTGTTGTGTGAAGAACTCAACAAAAGATTCCAGGAGGTCTTCACAATGGAACAAGGAGAAGCCCCTGCACTAAATGAGGAGGAGGCAAATCAAGCAACCTTGGAGGAATTTGACCTCACCAGTGATGAGATCAAAAGGTGTCTGCTGGAGCTGGAGGCGACAAAGGCTGTTGGACATGACAGAATCTCACCATGGATACTAAAGGAAGGTGCAGAAGCACTAAGTGTGCCACTCTCTATGGTGTATAACAGGTCACTGGAAACAGGAGACTTACCAGAAAGTTGGAAGACAGCTAACGTATTCCCAATATACATGAAGGGTAACAGGCAAGAGGCACTGAACTACAGGCCAGTTTCCCTAACTTGTATACCATGCAAGGTGATGGAGAAAATCGTGAGAAAAAGGCTCGTAGAGCATCTGGAGGGAAATAACTTTGTAACGCACCACCACCAACATGGGTTCAGGGATGGTAAATCATGCCTCACAGGTTTAATAGAATTCTATGACCAGGCAACAAATATTAGACAGGAAAGAGAAGGGTGGGCCGACTGCATTTTCCTGGACTGCCAGAAAGCCTTTGACACAGTACCCCATAGAAGGCTGTTAAAAAAATTGGAGCACGAGGCAGGAGTAAAAGGGAAGGTGCTCCCGTGGATAAGGGAGTACTTATGCAACAGGAATCAGCTAGTAACGGTGAGGGGGGAGACATCAGAGTGGCGAGATGTCACCAGCGGTGTCCCATAGGGCTCAGTACTTGGACCCATCCTCTTTCTAATATATGTAAACGATCTTCCGGTGGGTATAGACTCGTTCCTATCAATGTTTGCTGATGGTGCAAAAAATATGAAAAGAATCAAGACGGATGAAGATAGAGGCTACAGGATGACCTGGACAAACCGGAGGAATGGTCTAGAAAATGGCTGCTAAAGTTCAACTCAGGAAAGGGTAAGGTAATGAAATTAGGCGAAGGGAGCAGGAGGCTGAACACAAGGTATCATCTGGGAGGTGAAATCCTGCAAGAGTCAAATAGAAAGAAAGATCTGATAGAGCCCAATAGGCTCAGGAATCTGTACACTAGTTGATTAACTGTTGAGAGGCGGGACCAGAGAGCCAGAGCTCAACCCCCACAAGCACAACAAAGTGAGTACACACACACACACACACACGTGGGAAGACGGGACACCACGAGCGTAGCTCTCATCCTGTAACTACACTTAGGTAATTACACTTAGGTAATTACACAGTGAAGCACAATGCTTCACACACCTTGTACCTTTACAGATGGTGAAAGCGGGTAAGCTGAACCTGCCGAAGAAACCGCCAGAGGGGATGAACATGAGTAAGTTGTTAGTGATGTTTGTGGTGCAGGATACTAACCCACGATTGTTGTTAGTGATGTTTGTGGAGCAGGATACTAACCCACGATTGTTGTTAGTGATGTTTGTGGTGCAGGATACTAACCCACGATTGTTGTTAGTGATGTTTGTGGTGCAGAATACTAACCCACGATTGTTGTTAGTGATGTTTGTGGAGCAGGATACTAACCCACGATTGTTGTTAGTGATGTTTGTGGTGCAGGATACTAACCCACGATTGTTGTTAGTGATGTTTGTGGAGCAGGATACTAACCCACGATTGTTGTTAGTGATGTTTGTGGTGCAGGATACTAACCCACGATTGTTGTTAGTGATGTTTGTGGTGCAGAATACTAACCCACGATTGTTGTTAGTGATGTTTGTGGAGCAGGATACTAACCCACGATTGTTGTTAGTGATGTTTGTGGTGCAGGATACTAACCCACGATTGTTGTTAGTGATGTTTGTGATGCAGAATACTAACCCACGATTGTTGTTAGTGATGTTTGTGGTGCAGGATACTAACCCACGATTGTTGTTAGTGATGTTTGTGGTGCATGATACTAACCCACGATTGTTGTTAGTGACGTTTGTGGAGCAGGATACTAACCCACGATTGTTGTTAGTGATGTTTGTGGTGCAGAATACTAACCCACGATTGTTGTTAGTGATGTTTGTGGAGCAGGATACTAACCCACGATTGTTGTTAGTGATGTTTGTGGTGCAGGATACTAACCCACGATTGTTGTTAGTGATGTTTGTGGTGCAGGATACTAACCCACGATTGTTGTTAGTGACGTTTGTGGAGCAGGATACTAACCCACGATTGTTGTTAGTGATGTTTGTGGTGCAGGATACTAACCCACGATTGTTGTTAGTGACGTTTGTGAAGCAGGATACTAACCCACGATTGTTGTAAGTGATGTTTGTGGTGCAGGATACTAACCCACGATTGTTGTTAGTGTTGTTTGTGGTGCAGGATACTAACTTACGAGCGTTGTTAGTGAAAGGTGTTTGTGGTACAGGATAACTAACCGTTACATAATTCGTTGCCCATCTTAACACAACCTTCCTGTCCCCCAGCAACATGGGGCCCTCCACCATGACCACCATAACACAACCTTCCTGCCCCCCAGCAACATGGGGCCCTCCACCATGACCACCATAACACAACCTTCCTGCCCCCCAGCAACATGGGGCCCTCCACCATGACCACCATAACACAACCTTCCTGCCCCCCAGCAACATGGGGCCCTCCCCCATGACCACCATAACACAACCTTCCTGCCCCTGCAACATGGGGCCCTCCCCCATGACCACCATAACACAACCTTCCTGCCCCTGCAACATGGGGCCCTCCCCCATGACCACCATAACACAACCTTCCTGCCTCACAGCAACATGGGCCCTCCACCATGACCACCATAACACAACCTTCCTGCCCCCAGCAACATGGGGCCCTCCCCCATGACCACCATAACACAACCTTCCTGCCCCCAGCAACGTGGGGCCCTCCTCCATGACCACCATAACACAACCTTCCTGCCCCAGCAACATGGGGCCCTCCCCCATGACCACCATAACACAACCTTCCTGCCCCCCAGCAACATGGGGCCCTCCTCCATGACCACCATAACACAACCTTCCTGCCCCCAGCAACATGGGGCCCTCCTCCATGACCACCATAACACAACCTTCCTGCCCCAGCAACATGGGGCCCTCCACCATGACCACCATAACACAACCTTCCTGCCCCAGCAACATGGGGCCCTCCACCATGACCACCATAACACAACCTTCCTGCCCCCAGCAACATGGGGCCCTCCCCCATGACCACCATAACACAACCTTCCTGCCCCCCAGCAACATGGGGCCCTCCCCCATGACCACCATAACACAACCTTCCTGCCCCCAGCAACATGGGGCCCTCCCCCATGACCACCATAACACAACCTTCCTGCCCCTGCAACATGGGGCCATCCCCCATGACCACCATAACACAACCTTCCTGCCCCTGCAACATGGGGCCCTCCACCATGACCACCATAACACAACCTTCCTGCCCCCCAGCAACATGGGGCCCTCCACCATGACCACCATAACACAACCTTCCTGCCCCCCAGCAACATGGGCCCTCCCCCATGACCACCATAACACAACCTTCCTGCCCCCAGCAACATGGGGCCCTCCCCCATGACCACCATAACACAACCTTCCTGCCCCCAGCAACATGGGGCCCTCCACCATGACCACCATAACACAACCTTCCTGCCCCCAGCAACATGGGCCCTCCCCCATGACCACCATAACACAACCTTCCTGCCCCCAGCAACATGGGGCCCTCCACCATGACCACCGTAACACAACCTTCCTGCTCCCCAGCAACATGGGGCCCTCCTCCATGACCACCATAACACAACCTTCCTGCCCCCCAGCAACATGGAGGCCTCCACCATGACCACCATAACACAACCTTCCTGCTCCCCAGCAACATGGGGCCCTCCCCCATGACCACCATAACACAACCTTCCTGCCCCAGCAACATGGGGCCCTCCCCCATGACCACCATAACACAACCTTCCTGCCCCCCAGCAACATGGGGCCCTCCCCCATGACCACCATAACACAACCTTCCTGCCCCCCAGCAACATGGGGCCCTCCACCATGACCACCATAACACAACCTTCCTGCTCCCCAGCAACATGGGGCCCTCCACCATGACCACCATAACACAACCTTCCTGCCCCCAGCCAGTGGGATTGTGGCAGTGCTCACGACGGCCGTCAACACCTCGCTGAAGAACCAGAAGCGGGACTGTCCGATGTTGTACACCCGGGTCGGCCAGCTCTGCCTCGCCCTCTTCTCCCCGGCCAAGGTCAGTCAAAGGTCACTTATCTCTGGTGTTTAGGGCTGGAGATGACCCGCTCTCAGCCTTCAAAATTATAATTAATAACTTAAGCAATATATTTAACCTAATGGAGTTTACATAACTATTTTGCTTCGCTGTATTAAAATATTTTATATCATTATAAATTAGAGCATAAACTATCTAATGATTTTCACAATTCTGTGAAGATTCAGAATGCATGCATTGTCCACTCCCCTCCCTTACCACCACCGCAAGTGTTCCCTGTCATTACTGTCCACTGCCCCCCCCCCCTTCCCAACCACCAGCAAAGATGTTCAGTTCAGTAATATCTTCTCCCCCGTTACCTTCGCCGATGTATAGGCTAGTAATGTCCTCTTACTCAGCACCACAATTGGTGTGGATATCGTTAGTGTCCACTCCTTTATCACCACGACAGGTGTGATAGGTTACAAGTGTCCACTCCCTCACCACCACCACAGGTGTCCAGGTTACTAGTGTCCACTTCCTCACCACCACCACAGGTGTCCAGGTTACTAGTGTCCACTTCCTCACCACCACCACAGGTGTCCATGTCAATGGTGTCCTCTAAATCACAGGTGCCGTGGCCAGAAGCGAGACAGTTCTGCCGGTCCATCTATGGGGACTTGGTTATGTTTGACAACTTATCAGATTTCGAACATCTTGTGCTGTACATGAGGAACTCTAGTGAGTGTTGTGTGTCTAGTTACGTCTTGTCATTACAAAATTATTCTTATCTAGTTCACAGCGCGTTAAAGTTCTCCTGATGATTCACGTTCAAATTCAATGTTGTAAAACATGTCATGCATGTAGAATAGTGAATGATAATTTTAATCATTTTTTTTTACAAAACTGTACTGAATATGAGAAGTATTAAGTAAATGGTATTTAATTCTACAGAGCAAACTTATTATTTGATAAATGGTGGAGGTAGTTAGGCACTGCTCCTTCATCCCATCCCATCTCCTTTCCCAGTTATATAGTTAAAAAAATAGACTACTGTAGATGGCCTGTTTTCCATTCAAGGCGCCCAAACACACACACATTCTCTCTCTCTCATATATATATATATATATATATATATATATATATATATATATATATATATATATATATATATATATATATATATATATATATATATATATATATATATATATATATATATATATATATATATATATATATATATATATATTTTGGTAGCAGTCTTTCCTGTAGACATATATTATTAAATATGACCGAAAAAGTAAGATTAATAATTCTGACACGAATTTTCTCAATCTTTCGTACATTTCGCTTCACTGTTGCAGGTAAATCAAAAATCAATTCTCCAAAATTCATTTTTTTTCTAGTCTGACGCGACACGAGCGCGTTTCGTAAAACTTATTACATTTTCAAAGACTTTAGTTCACAAATACACAACTGAATAGAACTTACGCATCTCCGATTTTATATCTACATTTGAGTTAGGTGGAAGGGGTGATGTGGCATTAACACAAGACAGAACAAGATGTGGTATTAATAGGGTATTAATTTCATCAACACAAGACAGAACACGAAACAATGGATATTGAATAGAAGTGTTTGTAGAAAGCCTATTGGTCCATATTTCTTGATGCTTCTATATTGGAGCGGAGTCTTGAGGTGGGTAGAATATAGTTGTGCAATAATTGGCTGTTGATTGCTGGTGTTGACTTCTTGATGTGTAGTGCCTCACAAACGTCAAGCCGCCTGCTATCGCTGTATCTATCGATGATTTCTGTGTTGTTTACTAGGATTTCTCTGGCGATGGTTTGGTTGTGGGAAGAGATTATATGTTCCTTAATGGAGCCCTGTTGCTTATGCATCGTTAAACGCCTAGAAAGAGATGTTGTTGTCTTGCCCATATACTGGGTTTTTTGGAGCTTACAGTCCCCAAGAGGGCATTTGAAGGCATAGACGACGTTAGTCTCTTTTAAAGCGTTCTGTTTTGTGTCTGGAGAGTTTCTCATGAGTAGGCTGGCCGTTTTTATGGTTTTATAGTAAATCGTCAGTTGTATCCTATGATTTTTGTCTGTAGGGATAACGTTTCTATTAACAATATCTTTCAGGACCCTTTCCTCCGTTTTATGAGCTGTGGAAAAGAAGTTCCTGTAAAATAGTCTAATAGGGGGTATAGGTGTTGTGTTAGTTGTCTCTTCAGAGGTTGCATGGCTTTTCACTTTCCTTCTTATGATGTCTTCGACGAAACCATTGGAGAAGCCGTTATTGACTAGGACCTGCCTTACCCTACAGAGTTCCTCGTCGACTTGCTTCCATTCTGAGCTGTGGCTGAGAGCACGGTCGACATATGCGTTAACAACACTCATCTTGTACCTGTCCGGGCAGTCGCTGTTGGCATTTAGGCACATTCCTATGTTTGTTTCCTTAGTGTAGACTGCAGTGTGGAAACCTCCGCCCTTTTCCATGACTGTTACATCTAGAAAGGGCAGCTTCCCATCCTTTTCCATCTCGTAAGTGAAACGCAGCACGGAACTCTGCTCAAATGCCGCCTTCAGCTCGTGCAGATGTCTGACATCAGGTACCTGTGTAAAAATGTCGTCAACATACCTGCAGTATATGGCCGGTTTCAAGTTCATGTCGACTAAGACTTTTTGCTCGATGGTACCCATGTAGAAGTTTGCAAACAGGACACCTAGGGGAGAACCCATGGCGACCCCATCTACTTGCTTATACATGTGCCCATCCGGGCTCAAGAAGGGTGCCTCTTTAGTACAAGCTTGGAGTAGTTTCCTCAGAATATTTTCTGGTATGTCAAGAGGAGTACAGGCTGGATCACGATACACTCTGTCGGCTATCATTCCGATTGTCTCGTCCACAGGTACGTTGGTAAACAGCGATTCTACGTCCAACGAGGCTCTTATCCCTGTGGCCCGTGTGCCCCGCATTAATATATATATATATATATATATATATATATATATATATATATATATATATATATATATATATATATATATATATATATATATATATATATATATATATATATATATATATATATATATATATATATATATATATATATATATATGATATATATAATGTGTGTGTGTCAATCACGAAAATTAACGTGATGAAAAAAAATGTGACAGTGTCAGACCACGGAGTAAGAATTGAAGCAGGAATTTTCTTAAGTACTTTCGTATATTATTACATCTTCAGAATGAATGATTTACAGGTCAAGTATTGGACATATATAGGCAGGAGAGAGAGGTAAAGTGAGGTGAGGTACAATGAAAAAGGAATGGGAATTAGGTGGATACAAGTATGAACCACATAAAAACTGCAGAAGCCCTATTGGCCCATACGATGCATCTCCCATTTTTACCCACCAATAGGCCCACACATGGATAATAATAGCATAAGATAGTAAATATTTACAATTAGTTAGTGAGACAAATGTGTATCAATGATCCTACTCAAATCGCCCTTTAATTGATCTATCAAAAATGGATCCAAGTTATATAACCACTGCTAATGTTCAATTACTTTCTTTTGTAATCTGTATTAAAGCAGATTCAATTATGTTCCTGTTATAAGTGATTTTAAAATTTGTTATTGAAGAAGCCATCGCCCAATCAATTTGGTGAGCATTTCCTAACAAATGAGCAAATAAAGCATTAGGCAATTGACCATGTCTTAGAAAGTATTTGTGTTGCGAAATTCCCCATTTCAAATCATTAGATGTTTATTCAACATAGAACCTATTACAGTCTTTACAAGGTATTTTATAAATGACACAATTATCACTACGAGGGCTGTTTCTAACTAATAGTTTACCAACAGTATTTTCGTAGCTAAACAATACACGTATATCAAAAAGTTTCAAAGCCTTGACCATATTCTCAAACCCAGAGAAATATGGTAAACATAACACATTCTATGGGCGAATTTTTTTCGGAGCATAGTACGGAACACAATTCCGTGCATTGTGCTCAGTGAAGATCACAAAGATCACTGCACATTTATGACAGAGCGATACACGATAAGTATTGCTGGTATATGGTGTTGCAGGGCTGACGACTGATTACTGGGTCGGTGGCCGGTTCGACTTGGATACCAACGCTTGGTCGTGGACCGTGGACGAATCTGTCATGCCTTTAGGGACTCCCTACTGGGCTGTAAGGTTAGTGCCCCTAAGGTCTTCCTACTGGGCTGTGAGGTTAGTGCTCCTAAGGTCTCCCTAGTGATCTGTAAGGTTAGTGCCCCTAAGGTCTTCCTACTGATCTGTGAGGTTAGTGTCCCTAAGATCTCCCTACTGATCTGTGAGGTTAGTGCCACAAGGTCACCCCTACTGATCTGTGAGGTTAGTGCCCCTAAGGTCTCCCTACTGATCTGTGAGGTTAGTGCCCCTAAGGTCTCCCTAATGATCTGTGAGGTTAGTGGCCCTAAGGTCACCCTTCTGATCTGTGAGGTTAGTGCCCCTAGAGTCACCCTTCTGATCTGTGAGGTTAGTACGTGTACCGCTTGCCAGTACCTGCTTGGAGAGCGTTTGTTGTGTGCCAGTACCTGTTTGGAGAGGGATTAACCGTGGTATATACTTGTGTTACTGTTGCAGGCACAGTAGCTCGTGTGTGCCGCGCCCCCCGCCCCACACTGACCCCTTCAGCAGTCCCTCCGCTGCCCTACCAGATGCCCTCTGCCTCTCCTACACCCAGGCGCCCGCCAATCGTCAGGAGGGATGGTAATGATACACTTTTTTTCTAGTTCAATTTTGCAGACGATAGGAATGGTAAGCTTGTGTACCCACTTGGTTTACTGTCTATAACAGTGACTCTCATGCAGGGGTTCTGTGGAACAATGGGGTTTATTGATAAATTTTTAATATGACGTGCTTATAAAACGATGCAGCATATATAAAATGATGCTTGGCTAGATATTCGTCAAGCATTATTATGGAAGTGGTGATTTAATATTTACATTTAATTAGGCGACAACTAGAATTAATGTTATTCTTTGGAAATGAATTATTGTCAACTTTCTTACAATACAATAAAATAAAATGTACTTTTAGTTAAAAATTAAAAAAAATATCTACATAAAATCTTAACAAATATGTTCAAAATATTTGTAACCAGTTATAACAATGAAGAGCAAACATATTTGTAATTTGTTATTAACATTAATTAGTAAATAGAAATAGACAATAAATACCCATGAAATATTCTATTCAAAAGTATGAGTTAATCATTATTTATTAGATCTACTGCTTTAAGCACCTATTTTGGAATTTCTGCTGATGGACCTAATGTGTGCTCAACCTGGCCTCTCAACCTGGACGACGCATAAATCTCCAACGTCAAAATAAGATGTACTGTAAACTATAGCGGCTCGCTATATTGACGGGCTGTTACTTTCACCATTCGTGGATCCTGGGTTGGGTTAGGTTCTGGCAATTTAGTACATCAGTTAGTGACCTTGTGACAACTCGAGACTGGTCAGCCAGGTAGAACTAAGTGGTCTTCCAGGTAGGACGGGCTGATGACTAGACGTACCTGGTCTTCTGTGATTACCAGAGGTACCTGGTCTTCTGTGATGACCAGACGTACCTGGTCCTCTGCAATGACAGGACGTACCTGGTCCTCTGTGATGACCAGACGTACCTGGTCTTCTGTGATGACCAGACGTACATGGTCCTCTGTGATGACCAGACGTACCTGGTCCTCTGTGATGACCAGATATACCTGGTCCTCTGTGATGACCAGATATACCTGGAACTGTGATGACCAGACGTACCTGGTTCTCTGTGATGTCCAGACGTACCTGGTCCTCTGTGATGACCAGACGTACCTGGTCCTCTGTAATGACCAGACGTAACTGGCCCTCTATGATGACCAGACGTACATGGTCCTATGGACTCGTATTAATGGTCGGGTCCATTTGTGACCCAGACCCTTCCCCCCCCCTCCACTACCACTGACAATCCCTATACACTCATATATTTTTCATGGGAACTCTGGAAGCTGCCTTGCATGGACCTATAATCACTCCTGCAGTTTCCTGGTTTTTTGTGTTCTTTCGTGCGTTTTTTTTATGTTTAGAGTTTCTTGGATGGAATTTATGCGTCTGTTTATATGATCCAATTGTATATGTGAGAAGAAAAGGTTGACGGTGTTCCTTGGGATGTCCTCAGGTGCTCCGCCTTGACCTACGAACACTACTACTACATGACCGACCAGAGTTGCCAGGAGGAACGCAGCCCACTCTGCATGCTGGAGGCCGACGATGATGATGACCAACTTGATGAGGAACCTGAAGGGAAAGTCTGAGGAGGGGAAGCCTGAGGAGGGGGAAGCCTGAGGAGGGGGAAGCCTGAGGAGGGGGAAGCCTGAGGAGGAGGAAGCCTGAGGAGGGGGAAGCCTGAGGAGGGAAAGCCTGAGGACAGTGAGCCTGAGGAGAGGATGACTGAGGAGGGGAAGCCTAAGGAGAGGATGACTGAGGAGGGGAAGCCTGAGAGTAAACCTCTAGGGGGGAAGCCTGAGGGTAAACCTCTAGGGGAAAGAATGAGGGTAAACCTCTCGAAGGGAAGCCTGAAAATGAACCTCTAGGGGGAGAAGCCTCATGGATAATAAGAGTTGAGTGACGAAGCTCAATAGAGAGCGTTTGATTGGGTAAGCCTGAAGGACAAGCTTGAAAAAGAGACAGATGGACACGCTTGAGATGTATACCCGTCAGTGAAACCTGAGGAGAAACCCTGGGGGCTGACATCACTCTCCAGCTGGTTGATGTTATCCGCAGCTGAATGACGTTCTCCTCAGCTGTGTGATGCTTTTCTGAGCTGGGGGACGGTGACCTCAGCGGAGTGACACTCTCATTAGCTGGGTGACGCTGTCCTCAGGTGAGTGATGCTGTTTTCAGCTGAATGACTTTCCTCAAACGATTGACGGTGTCTTCAATTGTATTGCTGAATATTAGTACACATTATATATATATGTATATATATATATATATATATATGTGTATTTATATATATATATATATATATATATATATATATATATATATATATATATATATATATATATATATATATATATATATATATATATATATATATATATATATATATATATTATTAAATATGACCGAAAAAGTAAGATTAATAATTCTAACACGAATTTTCTCAATCTTTCGTACATTACGCTTCACTGTTGGAGGTAAATCAAAAATCACTTCTCCAAAATTCATTTTTATTTCTAGTCTGACGCGACACGGGCGCGTTTCGTAAAACTTATTACATTTTCAAAGACTTCACAAATACACAACTGATTAGAACTTACGTATCTCTGATTTTATATCTACATTTGAGTGAGGTGGGAGGGGTGATGTGGCATTAACACAAGACAGAACAAGAGGGGATATTAATAGGGTATTAAAAGTATCAACACAAGACAGAACAGAAACAATGGGTATTGAATAGAAGTGTTTGTAGAAAGCCTATTGGTCCATATTTCTTGATGCTTCTATATTGGAGCGGAGTCTTGAGGTGGGTAGAATATAGTTGTGCAATAATTGGCTGTTGATTGCTGGTGTTGACTTCTTGATGTGTAGTGCCTCGCAAACGTCAAGCCGCCTGCTATCGCTGTGTCTATCGATGATTTCTGTGTTGTTTACTAGGATTTCTCTGGCGATGGTTTGGTTATGGGAAGAGATTATATGTTCCTTAATGGAGCCCTGTTGCTTATGCATCGTTAAACGCCTAGAAAGAGATGTTGTTGTCTTGCCTATATACTGGGTTTTTTGGAGCTTACAGTCCCCAAGTGGGCATTTGAAGGCATAGACGACGTTAGTCTCTTTTAAAGCGTTCTGTTTTGTGTCTGGAGAGTTTCTCATGAGTAGGCTGGCCGTTTGTCTGGTTTTATAGTAAATCGTCAGTTGTATCCTCTGATTTTTGTCTGTAGAGATAACGTTTCTATTAACAATATCTTTCAGGACCCTTTCCTCCGTTTTATGAGCTGTGGAAAAGAAGTTCCTGTAAAATAGTCTAATAGGGGGTATAGGTGTTGTGTTAGTTGTCTCTTCAGAGGTTGCATGGCTTTTCACTTTCCTTCTTATGATGTCTTCGATGAAACCATTGGAGAAGCCGTTATTGACTAGGACCTGCCTTACCCTACAGAGTTCTTCGTCGACTTGCTTCCATTCTGAGCTATGGCTGAGAGCACGGTCGACGTATGCGTTAACAACACTCCTCTTGTACCTGTCAGGGCAGTCGCTGTTGGCATTTAGGCACATTCCTATGTTTGTTTCCTTAGTGTAGACTGCAGTGTGGAAACCTCCGCCCTTTTCCATGACTGTTACATCTAGAAAAGGCAGCTTCCCATCCTTTTCCGTCTCGTAAGCGTACATCTTTTCTAGATGTAACAGTCATGGAAAAGGGCGGAGGTTTCCACACTGCAGTCTACACTAAGGAAACAAACATAGGAATGTGCCTAAATGCCAACAGCGACTGCCCTGACAGGTACAAGAGGAGTGTTGTTAACGCATACGTCGACCGTGCTCTCAGCCATAGCTCAGGATGGAAGCAAGTCGACGAAGAACTCTGTAGGGTAAGGCAGGTCCTAGTCAATAACGGCTTCTCCAATGGTTTCATCGAAGACATCATAAGAAGGAAAGTGAAAAGCCATGCAACCTCTGAAGAGACAACTAACACAACACCTATACCCCCTATTAGACTATTTTACAGGAACTTCTTTTCCACAGCTCATAAAATGGAGGAAAGGGTCCTGAAAGATATTGTTAATAGAAACGTTATCCCTACAGACAAAAATCTGAGGATACAACTGACGATTTACTATAAAACCAGAAAAACGGCCAGCCTACTCATGAGAAACTCTCCAGACACAAAACAGAACGCTTTAAAAGAGACTAACGTCGTCTATGCCTTCAAATGCCCACTTGGGGACTGTAAGCTCCAAAAAACCCAGTATATAGGCAAGACAACAACATCTCTTTCTAGGCGTTTAACGATGCATAAGCAACAGGGCTCCATTAAGGAACATATAATCTCTTCCCATAACCAAACCATCGCCAGAGAAATCCTAGTAAACAACACAGAAATCATCGATAGATACAGCGATAGCAGGCGGCTTGACGTTTGCGAGGCACTACACATCAAGAAGTCAACACCAGCAATCAACAGCCAATTATTGCACAACTATATTCTACCCACCTCAAGACTCCGCTCCAATATAGAAGCATCAAGAAATATGGACCAATAGGCTTTCTACAAACACTTCTATTCAATACCCATTGTTTCTGTTCTGTCTTGTGTTGATACTTTTAATACCCTATTAATATCCCCTCTTGTTCTGTCTTGTGTTAATGCCACATCACCCCTCCCACCTCACTCAAATGTAGATATAAAATCAGAGATACGTAAGTTCTAATCAGTTGTGTATTTGTGAAGTCTTTGAAAATGTAATAAGTTTTATGAAACGCGCCCGTGTCGCGTCAGACTAGAAATAAAAATGAATTTTGGAGAAGTGATTTTTGATTTACCTCCAACAGTGAAGCGTAATGTACGAAAGATTGAGAAAATTCGTGTTAGAATTATTAATCTTACTTTTTCGGTCATATTTAATAATATATGTCTACAGGAAAGACTGCTACCAAAATATACTAATATATATATATATATATATATATATATATATATATATATAATATAATCTTTGCCTTACTATATATTAACACTGTTCGATTATGTATAAGTGTAAGTGTGTATTACTTTATGTATCCATGTATTAGTATATTAGTATATATTAAAATTGATAACTAAGTACAGGTATTAACATGCATTTCAATGTTTAGCTATGTATTAGTGTTTATTATGTATTATAATGTACTTAATATAGTGACATTAAACCATTAGTAATTCATTTCTTACTTGTAATCATTCGCCCGCTTATGTATTTTATATAATTTGTTCATCTTGTATTTTCAGCATTACCAGAGGGAAGTGTTTATTGTGTACCGTCATGAATATTTACTGGAGAAAGTTACTCCTGACTCAGTGTGGATGTTTTCTGGAAAAAGTTACTCTTCACTCAGTGTGGATGTTAACTGGAGAAAGTTACTCATGACTCAGTGTATATGTTTACTTGAGAAAGTTATTCCTGACTCAATGTGGATGACTTTAATCAAAGAAATTGACTGGGAATCAATGGATTCGAGAGGAAATTAAGAAACATGAAGAGCAAAGCTAGAAGATGTAGCCAAAAGGAACAACGTAACACATGTTAATAAGGAAACATGGAAAATGGGAAGGAAATATCACCAAGGCTAAACCTGGTCTTCATGCAGAACGAGATGAAGACATTATCCTTGCCGCATGAAACAGTAACGGGAGCCAGTGGCCACTGTAGTGAGGTCGCCGGTTGTGTAGTTTATATGTGAGCTGAGGCGAGAGGAGCAGCGGAGGAGATGGGATGACAAACTTTCTATAAAGGTGAGAACCAGATGGTCGGAGAATTCTTAGAGATAATTAAATAAAAAGATAGAGAAAAAAATAAGACAGCTAAGAAAAAATAGCCTAAAAAGGAAAATAAAGATCATGGAAGAAATACAGGAAGAACAAATCACAAGTAAACAAATTCATGTATACACCAGGAGATCAGAAGACAATGTATACATGCTGGTTAGCATTGTAAATGTGTGGCCACGCCTGTGGTAGCAAATAATAGTAATAATGATAAAAACTTACCCGCCACCGCACGCCCCGCACCATTCACACACGCCCCGCACCATTCCCACACAACCCACACCATTACTACACGTCTCACATCATTCCCACACTATTCTTACACGCCCCACATCATTCCCACACGCCCCACATCATTCCCACACGCCCTACACAATTCCCACACGCTCTACATAATTCCCACACTCTTGACACCATGCTTCTCTAGTGGGATCGTTCCTCCTGGAGAATTCCTCAGCTGTTCATCAGTAGTTCAGACTAAAAGCTTATTGGAGCGAATAATCTGTGGACCGGCCTTGTGGCATATGTCAAGGCGTTATACAGACTGTCACCGAGACGTGTCACCTTGTGCGACATATTTCTACCCTTGGCTGGTCTCTGATAACTCTGTTAGAAGGAACTCTTGACGTGTCCACTTACTACTACACCTCTGAGTGTATAGAACTTCTTCACTATTAGCCTTCTGGGGATGTAATTATATATATTATCGTTATACATAAATCATTATGTGGCTCTCACGAAGTGTTTCATTGTGTGACGCACATACATGTAGTGCGTCATTGTGTGACGCACATACATGTAGTGCTTCATTGTGTGACGCACATACATGTAGTGCGTCATTGTGTGACGTACATACATGTAGTGCTTCATTGTGTGACGCACATATATGTAGTGCTTCATGGTGTGACGCACATACATGTAATGCTTCATGGTTTGACGCTCATAAATGTAGTGCTTCATAGTGTGACGCACATCCATGCAGTGCTTCATGGTGTGACGCACAAACAAGTTGGGCTTCATGATGTGACGCACATACATGTAGTGCTTCATGGTGTGACACACAAACATGTAGGGCTTCATGATGTGACGCACATACATGTAGTGCTTCATTGTGTGACACACATACATGTAGTGCTTCATGGTGTGACACACAAACATGTAGGGCTTCATGATGTGACGCACATACATGTAGTGCTTCATTGTGTGACGCACATACATGTAATGCTTCATGGTTTGACGCTCATAAATGTAGTGCTTCATAGTGTTACGCACATACATGCAGTGCTTCATGGTGTGACACATACCTGTAGGGCTTCATGATGTGACGCACATACATGTAGTGCTTCATTGTGTGACGCACATACATGTAGTGCGTCATTGTGTGACGTACATACATGTAGTGCTTCATTGTGTGACGCACATATATGTAGTGCTTCATGGTGTGAAGCACATACATGTAATGCTTCATGGTGTGACGCACGTACATGCAGTGCTTCATGGTGTGACACACAAACATGCAGTGCTTCATGGTGTGACACACATACATGTAGGGCTTCATGATGTGACGCACATACATGCAGTGCTTCATGGTGTGACGCACATACATGCAGTGCTTCATGGTGTGACGCACATACATGTAGTGCTTCATGGTGTGACGCACATACATGTAGTGCTTCATGGTGTGACGCACATACATGCAGTGCTTCATGGTGTGACGCACATACATGCAGTGCTTCATGGTGTGACGCACATACATGTAGTGCTTCATGGTGTGACACACATACATGCAGTGCTTCATGGTGTGACGCACATACATGCAGTGCTTCATGGTGTGACACACATACATGCAGTGCTTCATGGTGTGACACACATACATGCAGTGCTTCATGGTGTGACGCACATACATGCAGTGCTTCATGGTGTGACGCACATACATGCAGTGCTTCATGGTGTGACGCACATACATGCAGTGCTTCATGGTGTGACGCACATACATGTAGTGCTTCATGGTGTGACGCACATACATGTAGTGCTTCATGGTGTGACGCACATACATGCAGTGCTTCATGGTGTGACGCACATACATGTAGTGCTTCATGGTGTGACGCACATACATGCAGTGCTTCATGGTGTGACGCACATACATGCAGTGCTTCATGGTGTGACGCACATACATGCAGTGCTTCATGGTGTGACGCACATACATGCAGTGCTTCATGGTGTGACGCACATACATGCAGTGCTTCATGGTGTGACGCACATACATGTAGTGCTTCATGGTGTGACGCACATACATGTAGTGCTTCATGGTGTGACGCACATACATGCAGTGCTTCATGGTGTGACGCACATACATGCAGTGCTTCATGGTGTGACACACATACATGCAGTGCTTCATGGTGTGACGCACATACATGTAGCGCTTCATAGTGTGACGCATACATGTAGTGCTTCATGGCGTGTATTCTCTCATATAATACATCTTCCCGTCACTTTTGTCTGTTCCTGAATATTTCATTATTTGCCTTTTATTTATTTGTTGGTTCACACACCTTCAGTGTCAACTTGAGGTCTGGTTGTGGCCCACTTGGCCAGCTCATCACCAACCTCCTTCAGCACTAGTCCAACCTGAGATGGAATCCCTTTGAATTTAACTTTGTGTTTTTTTATATCTTTCCCGCTCACTCTTTTCTTACAATCCAATAATCTATACAATCTATAGACTTGAATATTGTATTTTGACTGTTTAATGGCTCGAGTCCTCCTCGACAATCAGCAAACACGAAAACATATTTTTCGTCTTGACAGACTTCATCCAAACCCGAAAAATGTCTTGCAATTCAGTTGATGTGGATGAAATATAATTACTGAACCGACGTTCAATTTTCCTGTCCACTGTTCCATACTCAGAGTATAATTAGGAGTCAGCGGGGACTGTATGATGCTAGCAGTAATCATGGCGCAGTGGTAAAATACTCGCACGACGGTTCACGAGCACTTTGGCCTGGGTTTGTATCCTGGCCGGGGAGGATTGGCTGGGCACCAATCCTTAACTATACCCATTCACCAAGCAGTGAATGGATACCTGGTTGATAAACGATTTGGCGGGTCGTATTCCCGGGGAAAAATTAGGATTAAAAACTTGGTGGAAACGCTATGCTTGCTAGTGGCTTTACAAGAATGTAAGAACTCTTGTATATATAAATAAATAAATGTCTCTCTTCATTACATCATACCTTGTTCTGCCACAGATCCAACATAATATACCTGCAATTATTTCCTCTTGGTAACCTGTCTAACAAGCTTCCACTCAAGCACCTCAGTTGTCCGGGATCATGCCGCGGCTTTTTTATCTTGAGGAGCACAAGATCTCTGTTTATTTTCTGGACCTTCCAGGGAGGAGTTCTATTACACTGCCGAGAGATTTTGCTGCATTCACATACATGGTATTCTCTGAGGGTATCAGTCAGTCCTCTTGTGTAACATGTCTCTGTTTCCTGGAAGTTTGCTCGTCACTTAAGATCCTAACGCTTTTAAGAGCTTATCATCTCTTGAAATGAAGATTCCCTAGTATGTCAAGTATTATCGTTCACACTGCAAATTTAAATATATTTTCGTTACTTCAGCCAGTGTATTTCTTTGACATCCAAGAATAATTCTCATTGCTTCGTTATGAATCATTTCCAGTTTTCTCTACCTTGTTGTGTGTAAAACAAAATGGGTTCTACAGAGTCTATCAGGGTTTTAACATTGCTAACGTAGAGCATACTCAAAATAGGCACGATTTTGATGAAGCACCTCTAAAATATAATAGCGCCTTTGAAGGATGCAGTGGAACCTAACACCAGGTGATAATATGGTTTGTTTCAGCGCTTTTACTCTCGAACCTGAACCCAATATACAAACCCAGATACTTGTACTAATGCACGTGTTTTAGTTCCTTATCATTTAGAGTATGTGTTCTATATATCATAGTTTTTTACACATGTATTTGGTTTCGTCTTCATATATAAATAATCCAAGCTTGTGACAAGGGTGACTCAAAAATATTTGAAATATATTTAGAGCGGTTTGAGTTTTTGGAACACTATGATAAAGTACTACTATATTGAACACTAGTGTGAGGTGTTGGCATGTTGGAGGTGTCATGGGCGTATTGTGATGGCTTGGCTATTGTGAGATGCTGGAATGCCTATGGGGGGAAGGGGAAGCAAAACCTGGGAAATTATCTGTTGTTGGAGGCGCCATGTTGAGTGTGATTGGGTGTTGGTCTGTTACCATGGGTCTGGAGTATTGGTGGGGGGCACAATAGTGAGGTGTTAAGTGTTAACACTTGACTCCTCATTGTTAAGGTGTTAAGGAAACTATAGTGAGGTGCTGGTTTGTTGGTATATCCCATCAATATTACCACATTGATTGAATGATGAAGATTAAGCCACCCAAGAGGTGGTACGGGCATGAATAGTCCTTAAATTATCACATTCTTTTCTTGAAGATAATATTCTATCATGGTGTACCCCAAGCAGCTGCTGGAAGAGAAAACGTGTTGTATCAGAATCTTGAGTATAGGCATTATAGAAAGCGTGATGTATCAGTAACTAGTATATATATATTCCGACAGGTTTAACTACATTTCTCAATCTACACAACTTACACTGATAGTTTAATCTAGTCATTAACGCTGTTCAGGACCAATGTTTACTTGGTGGGTGATCAATAAGCCATAATAGGGGCTACAATAGCCCTTCAGAGCGTCGCACATATCAAGATAATAAGAAACAGGTGTTATAAAGAGATCGTTCACTCGAGAGAATAAATAAAACGGTTTGTATATATGTTGTTATTTCTTAACCATTACACGGCTGGAATCGCCATATGCACTTTTGTTCATATGGATAGGTAAATTAATGCCTATACATATATTTACATCTACACTGTACAGGCGTTAAAAATACTAGGGACAGAGAGAAAAACCAGAGGACAGGTTGAGCTGGACAAATGCTGGATTGTTTTGCAACATGTTTGACCTTATGGCCCTACAGTCCTTCATCAAATACAGACTAATCAATACATAAGTTAGCATTTGACTTATAGTCTGCTTGACTATGTTCGAAGCTATGACTCAAAACATCATTCTTTCACTGTCAGCCAGAACTGAAAACATTCCATAAGTTAATGTAACCAAACATCCTACCTTATCTAGACCTACCTATGCATAAACCAACAATAAATAATATTTTTGTTTTATATTTCAGAAATAAAATTTGATATACTGTATGAAAGATTCATGCGTTCAACATGGTGTCAGGTGAATAAGTCAAAACAACCTGTACTCAGGAGGGAAATATGCTCAAGGGAATGGATTGGGAACGACTTCATAATTAGTTCTATTATCTACTCTCGATCTATGGTTAAGCTAGGTTAAGGTTATTTTAGGTTAGGTTTAGTTTGGTTATGTTAATAGAGTGTATTATTGACGAAAATGGTTTTTGAATTTCATATTTCACATTAAAGTGTACCCAATAATTCGTTTACAGAAAACCTATTTAAAACAAAGATTTACATCACAATAAAGTTACAACTTCAGAATAATCTGTGTTGACAAAGGATCATTTACCAGTTTACATGCAGACTATCATTGGAACCGTAATATGCTTTCAGACCATAACAAATATCTAGATACCTATTCAGGGGTTTTGAAGGGGGTGTAATTTTTCATTGTAATGGGTCGTGTCTGAAGATGGGCTCAAATAATGACATTAAAGTCTAGATAATTCAATATATAGCAGTGTTATTAAGGCCTAAACAATAGTTTTTGGCCAAATACGAATTATACTCTAGTCCTGAGTATAGTTCAGTAATAAAGTAAACTACAAGTCTGTACTCACTTGGTTGTGCTTGCCGGGGGTTGAGCTTCGGCTCTTTGGTCCCGCCTTTCAACCGTCAATCTACTGGTGTATAGAATCCTGAGCTTCTCGAGCTCCATCATATCTACATTTAAAACTGTGTATGGAGTCAGCCGCCACCACATCACTTTCTAGTCCATTCCATTTACTAACTACTATGACTATGAAAAAGATCTTTCTATTGTCTCTTTTATATATATATACAAAAGTTGTTACATTCTTGTACAGCCACTGGTACGCATAGCGTTTCGAGCTATTTCAGCATAGCCAAATGAGCCATCTCTGTGGCTCATTTAGGTACTCAACTGTGTTCAACTGTGCCCCCTTGTGCGTGTACCTCCCGTGTTAAATAATCCATTCTGGTCTACTCTGTCAATTTCCCTGAGAATTTTGTATGTGGTGATCATGTCTCCCCGAGCTCTCTTGTCTTCCAGGGACGTGAGATGTAGTTCACGCAGCATTTCCTCGTAACTCATGCCTCTTAGTTTTGGGACTAGCCTAGTGGCATACCTCTGAACTTTTTCCAGCTTCGTCTTGTGCTTGACAAGGTATGGGCTCCATGTTGGGGCCGCATACTCCAGGATTGGTTTTACATATGTGGTATAAAAGGTTTTGAAGGATTTCTTCCACAAGTTTCTGTAGGCAGTTCTGATGTTAGCCAGCCTTGCATACCCCGCTGATATTATTCTTTTGATGTGGGCTTCAGGAGACAGGTTTGGCGTGATATCAACTCCTTGATCTTTCTCTCTGTCCGTTTCATGAAGGACTTCATCTCCCATTCGGTATCCTGTATCTGGCCTCCTATTTCCTCCGCCTAGTTTCATTACCTTACATTTACTTGGGTTGAACTTTAGTAGTTGAACCATTCCTTCAGTTTGTCTAGGTCATCTTGTAGCCTCATACTGTCTTCCTCTGTCTTAATCCTCCTCATAATTTTTGCATCATCAGCAAACTTTGAGAGGAATGAGTCTATACCCTTTGGGAGATCACATACATATATCAGAAACGGTATAGGTTCAAGGACTGATTCCTGTGGGACTCCACTGGTGACGCTTCGCCACTTTGAGACCTCACCCCTCACAGTGACTCGCTGTCCTTCGTTGCTCAGGTACTCCCTTATCCAGTGGAGTACGCCTCTCAGTGTATATATCGAAAGTGACTTAAGAGTGCTGCAGTCTTTCCTTATTTCAGCCTCCAGCACGGCTGACAGACATCATCCCTTTCTGCTCTTGATGGTCAAGACACATCGCCACCTTCCTTAGTACCGTCAACACTTGGCGAGGATCTAGAGACTTGAGTGTTGCTTGTGTTTTCTGACTCACAACAAGCAACCTTCTGCTCCACTCTAAGTCATTAAGTTATTTCTAGGCAACCACAACCTTGAAGACCCCAAGAAGATGCCACAAGAGGCCAAACCACTCCACATCAAGTAAGGGCAGCTCTGTTGTATCGTGATGTTTAC